CGACATCAAAGCAGCTACTCATACCGACTCGGAACGGATGTACTGCAACCATCAACTCTCGAACGTGACTTGGGTGTTCTGGTTCAAGATGACTTGGGTTGCTCCAGGCAATCCGAAAAGGCCTCGAAGACCGGGAACCAACACGTCGGGCTGTTGAGGCGGGCGTTTGGACAAATAAACAGCTCCATATTTCGACAAATGCTCAGTGCGTATGTTCGCCCCCATGTCGAATATGCAATTCAAGCCTGGCATCCATGGCTGAAACACGACCTTAATGCACTGGAGCAGCCACAACGCCGGGCATCTAAGAACGTAACTGGAATGCGCAATCTCTCCTACCAGGAGAGGCTGCGACGACTGGGATTGTTCAGTGGAAGCTATCGCAGACTACGAGGCGACCTGATTATGGCATACTTGATTCTGCGAGACCCACATCATGTGTGCCGCCCTTTACTGCAACTCAGCAGCAATACAAACCTGAGGGGCCACACATTAAAACTCGCAGAACAATACAGTCGTCTGGAGTGCCGCAGAAATTTCTTTTCCATCCGTGTCTGTCACCCGTGGAATGCTCTCCCAGAATCGGTCGTCTCTGCACCGACACCAACAGTATTTAAAAGACGGTTGGACGATGCACTCATCCACTTACACTTTGTTACTTAACACTACGTCTCCATCCTACACCTGGAGTTTACCATGGAATTATTTGTTGTTAACTGTGGATGCTGTGAATCTAAGAGGATCGCAGGACTGCAGCGAAGCAAACGATAAGTCCTTATTTTCATATTTAAAGTATTAACTATTTTACTATCCTTATCATCATTACTGTTATGTTGATATCCCCTGCAACTATCCAACGGGACTTGTAAAGCAACGCTTCTTAACCCGTATAAATTCATTGTTCATTGTTCATTGTAGCACGTTTGTACATGAGGTGGGAGAGTCCGTCGTTTTGACGGAAATAATGGGTGGGGTAGTAGCAGCTAGATATCAGTCGTGGCAGTCCGCTGCCGTCACACGTGACACAGTGGCGTAAGTCGTTGGCTCTTAAGGGTATGGTTGTTGGTTGGAATCCTGCAGGATTTGGCGTTTGTGCTCTACTGACGATTCTCAATAGGAGGAAACAGATGTCTAGCGCTTTCTTGGATGTATGGTGGCTGTCTGCCTAGGTCTAGCTGCGACGAATACTCACATACCACATTTTACCATATGCGAAAAGCTGCAGCTGTGTCACACATGTAGTCATCGCTGGACTCCTCGATTCCGTGAAGCGCATTCCACTCGGCAGATCACTGAACTCTGTCTGCATCGTAAAGCGTTCAGATATTTCACGTAGAGCTGATACATGGCGTACGTTCAACCATTCAGATCTCTGCATGGAGTACAGTGAATTAACGAGTGCGCTTCATACAGCATGTAGCAATGGCTAAGATTATTCTGTTTTTCCGGTTTAGCAACTTACGCGGTAACCTTCATCACGACGGACACACTTGTGCAGCAGACGAAACTGGCATAGAGTTTTACCCTGGGACGAATTGTCCGATCTAGGCGATGCGGGTGAGGTCACCAATGTAGTCAAAAGCTTCTAACCAGTGTAATCAAGCTTGAACAAAATCACTAGCCTGGATTTTGCGTCTCTTTTATACAAATCGCTGTTTTGTTACCACCAAGTGCTTACTATTCTATAGGTACGCAAAAGTAAAACAAAAATGTCGGCAAATTAGCTAGTCGTGCATATAGTAGGAAATTGGGACTTATTCTTGTGCAGTGCTATAGATCATAGCCGCATTGGCGCAAAAACCTTCAGCCACCGTTTCCTTATACTTAATAGCTAGCAAGCTGTTATGAGTGCCTACCAATGTGAACTCACGGTGTCCTCAGAAAGGAGATGTAGAGGCAAGCAGCAAACTTACTAATGAGTTTAGATTGTTCGATCAACAAACAATACTAGGTAAAACAGCGCTGAGCAAGTGCCCACCTACCGATTTCCCTTGAATGCATACTTTTATTAACCAAATCTGTGGTGACGTGTCTCGAAGTGGGTCAACAAGAATTTGGTCATCTACTAGTTAAATAACTGCTATTGTCTTGTCTCCCTCTCCAGATGGTGGCTCATATACTCCAAACTATCTGCGGCTAAAGAAATTACAACACTCGACACACCTCCGGTATCAGTAGTGTGTGTAATATCGGTTTACTTTTCATATGTGGGACACTAAGGTATATGCAAGCTCAATGAACCTATCGCTCTGAGGATGCCTTCTCACAACAAGTTGGTCAGCTGTTCTTAACAACGTGATGTTAACAAGCCAAAAAAGACTTTTATCACCATCAGCTTAATTTCTGTATTTCAGTTTTCATCTTTTTCAGTTCTTCATTCTTATTTCAATCCCTAGGCTTTCCTGTCGTAAGTTACCGGTTTGTGACAACCCGGTACAATGGCATACGGCTGGCGTACTGCTTTTATGACTGTGATGATGATGAAAGCAATTGTATTGCAGCTGAATATGGAAGGTTCCACCGTACAATGGGATGCTCAATAAAGGTGCGACAGCTCATGAAAATCACCAGTAACATCGCAAAAATTTCTGTTCAAATAATTATAAGCATCGTTTAGCCCAAAGTTTTATCTAGTGTTTCTGTATAGGCTGCGTAATTTTAACAAAATCGGTCACCATGTCACTTAGTTAGCATGCCACGCTTGTGGTGCAGTTACTGTGGTGTTTAGGGAGCTGTACTTCGCTAATTATGTTGACAGCAATGGTAAATCGACGGACCACAGCGCTGACTTTCTAATGTAATCGTCCACATTGTTGCATGAGTAAACAGACATCCAGTTAATGCACGTGTAATATGATTGGCTGTTCCCACAAACATGCACTCTGCTTAAGATCAACTCCGTTGTTCGATTTGAAGCCGCGAAAAGATCCTTGTATATTCTGTCTGAAACAGCCCACTGTTTCATCTTTGACAACCAAGTAAAACCGTTTATTGTTGGTGTCATTGGCAGGTTTTCTTCACTCTAACGCGGAGACAACGCTATCCAGTATTGCCCAAAGCAACAAAAGTGGATTGAACGGCTGACCTGATTATTCATCATGATAGTTATTTTCCATTGTAACTGTTTAATTTTCTGCTACCGTTGAGTACTACCCAACGGAGTGCTTCAAAACTCTTATTGGCACGTATAATGCGCAAGCTTCATTTACTTGCAAGTAATTCGAACAATTACTTGCCGTAACGGATGACACAGAAAAGTATCGGGAGAATTCACAACAATCGGACACAATATTCTGTTATCAGACATCTGACAACCCTGTTGACTGGTTTCCATCGGAAGGGCTCTTCCTCTAAGGCGGGAGCGAAACGAATAGCACATAACGCAAAGTTTTGTCATGCATTAAGAGAAGATAGTTTGATGGCATTTCCTCATCACTCCGCGATGTCCGATAAGATTCATAACATCAGTTGCTAAGACACTTAATCTCAGTGTATTCGGGATCTGGTAAGCCCCCGTGCAAGGAAGGAGTAGGCTTGCAGTGATCAGAATCTCACTCCAAACCCCTGGCAATTCCACATAAATCAAAACTCCATACCTCACCAGCATTTGTTGCTAGCTCATCATCGGCTTAGCCGTCGTTACCTTACCAGAGCACAAACTGAAGCCGCTGCATTTTGCTGCCATAGTACCTGAATGGCATTCAATAACAATGAGAAATCTCTGCTATAATTAACTTGTGAAGTTGTCTCAATCATCAGCAGCTACTACTTATCAAACCGCGTACATAACACTCCGATTGGGAGTAGCTTGCAAAGAAAGTGGAAGAAATGGGGCTACCCGATCGTCTGCATTTATGCAACGTGCATGAGAGTGGGAAAGTAGAAAAGCTATTTAATAGCTAGCAATCTGTTGCGAGGGCCTACAAATGTCACCCATGCTCTAGCGGCATGATCCACTTAATTCTAAAAGCACAAATGTTTGGCTAAACGGCGCCAGGAGCGCGCCGCTGGCTTGTCTGTTTAATCCGAAACGAACATTCAGCGGTCCTCTGGAATATGTGTGACTGCCTGATCTAAATGTTTGACCCATCGAACGTGGACTGAACAAGAGAGTGAGCAAATGCGTAGCTTTGCTGTGTTTCGATAATACTGCGAGTGAGCGCTTCATCCAACTGGAAATATTTAAAGGACGAAAAACAAAGATATCCTAAAGGCGGCGCACAACTCACAGGTAAATAAATAAATGCGTAAATATGTTACAGGGGATAGTGTACAGTGACATTTGGGTGAGTAGTGGATGGAAATACCCTATCAGTCAGGAATCTTAAGCTAGAGATGTAGCAACGTCACCAAAGTTCCGGCCAGTGCAGTTTGACTGGCTCATCGGTTGTGTATATCGCCGTATCTACCAAGATAGAAGGATTTCTTGACATATAACATATACGCAGGACATGTGCGCACTGCGAAACTGCGAATCACGGTTGATTTATATATAAATCTAAAAATATGGGTTTGCGGTTACGGGGGAATAAACATGCTGGATTCAAGCCCAGTGATAAGCCGGGACGGTAATGTTTTTAATCCCGCTCTTGTGGCCATTGTCTAATCGTTACGCTGCTGCATTTTACCGAACTGTGGCAGATCTCTACAAGACAAACGTTGTGCGACGTTCTGTGATACAGCACGCGACTTTGATGTCGCAGTTTCTGCAGAGCACATCAAACCGTGACCGCTTACCGATCCCACAAAACGGATTAATAAGGGGTCCAGATTTCGCTTCTTACAGCTTTTGTAATATGAAACAACGAAAAGCATATCCATCGGTCGATCAACCGTTTCAAAGACCCGTGTTTTGAGATAAACCGTCCGTGTCACAGCAGTTAAATATTATCATTAGGATTAATGATAGTGGAACCACTACCAAAATTTTGTCTTCACTGCGTAGTCAAACGTAACAACAAACAAGTGAACATACAGTAAGGTTTTACGTCACAACTCACCGGTTTCGCAGGTTCGCGACACTGCTCCTGAAATTTCATAACGTTGTCAACCAGCTCATCGGTTTTATGGCAGTTTGTCAACTGCACGGTCATTGAGAAAGAGAGGACCATTTTCGGTTCAATCTTAAAGAGCAGTAGGTGAATTACTATGGATACGTACCTCGATTTTCACATTATCCAAACGGTGTAGAGAGTACATGAACGCCTCATTAACTCTCTTGTTGTACTCCGTGACAGTATCTTGAAGTATTTCCTTGAAGGGACTCTTTTGTAGTTCATCCGGGTCAACAGCACGGATATTCGATCGGCCAACGTGGGACAACATTTGGATGTCTTGACTTGGGTCCTCCTCATCAAACTGCATGAGTTAAAGGAATCAAGTTCGAGCGATATACGTATAGCAAAGCACAAAATACTGACATGAAAAACATTGACATCCCCGAGTAAGAATTTAGCTGGAAACGCCCACGAGCCATCTACTTGTTATGGGGATTTCAAGTGTTTTAGTTAGCTTCCTGGTCCATGCATGTTGTATGGTGGAATCTACGCTGAAATCCGAAAAACCTCGCTTTCAGTTCTTCGGCCACGGCCCTTGCTCTCTCGCTTAGTTATAAGCGATCAACTGTTTTGTCTTGTGGAATTTCCCAGTACTTGCTACATTTTTGGGACTAGAGAGTGACATATCCTCCTGTTCTATTTCCAAACTGTTTTCCTACACATTGCCATTCCCATACAAACTGTTCTCTGAGAGTGCTGTCACATTTTCACATTATCGTGTGACTGACACTTTCTTTTGTACATGTTAACAACCAGCAGTTTAATAAGTACTGAGAGAAAATGTGGTAATAGTAGTCCCTAGAAAGCTCAAGGGCCAAACGTCCGATTGGTGCATGACTTTGCATCGGAAAAAGTTATCAATACTACAGAAAAAATGACGAATATTTTGTTGGAAATCGAAAAGCCGTTGTTCAGTATATTGCGAAATAATCTTGTACAATAGAACCTACGTTAGGGTCACAAATTCGGTGAAATGTGAACACGGAAGGATATCTACAGTTTTATGTTTACTCTACTTGGTTAGGAACGAATGTCTCGCTTTTATCAGCCGCCAACTTGATCTGATGAATTCGTACGTACAAAATAGCTAATATATCCCGAAATTGGACGAGAGTATCGTGCTGGAGTCCGACAGCATAAGGCTTATCGTTGGAGCGAAACCATTGATGTAACGATAAATGAACTGCACAGCAATGACTGATGAAGATTATCTATGTTTGAGGGACAAGTTGATTTTAAGGCATATCCAGGCCTAGCAATGAGGTCATTCATTCCTTGAGATGAAGCGCTCACCATGTGAACTCAAGCATCTTGGAAACAGTGGCATACAGCAAAGAGCTAGGTGTACCGGAATACCTGTTTGTGTTTAAAGGAAAATGGATCGAGTGTTCACATGTGCACTGAAAATATGTAGATTGGAATTCTTACCTTCCACTGCTCGGTTATGGGAAAGCATTTGTGCCTTGGCTTTGATTGTGGTTTGGTAGATCGCCACAAACCTCTCATTACGGTGCTGTTCCGGACACAGTTGTTTAGCCTCGTTGCATCTTTGTTTTCTTCGTCCGTAGTTACCTGGCACGTCACCACATTCTTGTATGTTTGTGAAAGAAAAAAACAGTATTTGGGACAACAATGAATACGTACTTTGATTACACTATGCAGGGGGCTTAGTCACCAGGATTAAATGGTACAGTTAGAACTACTAAAAAACGTAGTGCATACTGACTGGTAGGGAGCAAATTATGTGAAATCGGCAACTTCAAAATTCGTATGGAAATGTGGTGTGAATGTCACATTGCACTTCAACCTCATGCACAGCGGATAATTTGCATGCGACACTGCCATAGTGGCCAAGTCCGACCGTGCAGCATAAGCAAAGAATGCCACGGCTCGAAACAGTGCAAAACGAAAAGAACGCTTTTCATTGACACAACTGAAAATAATGATGTCTATTTCACGGAGTGTAGAAGACGCTGATCTGCTGCGTACTCTCACTTCTGTACAATATCTATGATGTGGACAGGGTATTGCAATTGTTGCAGTTGTTTTGCCTAGCGCCCATAGTTAACAAACTTAATGGGAAGGTAGCAGCATGAATCTAAAGTTAGACCATGAAAACCAATCAAGTAAACAAAGATCCTGGGAAAAGGAACTTGCTAGGTATGAGCATAAGTTATTGGGAAGAAGGCATGAAAAGCACTTCACCACTGCGTTTTATCGAAATGAATTCAAACCATAAGCGCCGCTGCTCCTGATGCCTGAAGAAGACACACAGCACGAATGGACAGATTGGTGGCTTGATTCTCCTCGCTTTACCATAGTAAACTTTTGGTTCCACCTAATCATTGGAAAGTTCGAAAGGCAGCTCACGTTCAGGTCCGTGGCCTGCAGCTAATCAGAATATTTGTCTTCGCTAGCATAAGCCCTTGAAGTCATCGGGTCTCCTCTATCTTCTGTTGCACGTGCTGCGATATATCCGGTTTTCCAATTCATGTCAAGCCAAAATACGCTTTATACATCCGAAAGGGTTCATTCGCAGCATTTACACTATCTATGCCGATGCACTGAATGATGTGACCAACCAAAAATATGTAAAAACAAATTGGTGAACTCAATGGGCAAAGGTGTACAAATGTCACTTAAGACACAGCATGTGCAACGTAATAGTGACTAGCTTTCGGTCGAGGAGACAAGCTAACCAATAAGGCAACAGTGTGTTACTATACGACGAAGTGCGGGAGAAGAAAACGATTAACTTGAGCAAGTGTATGAGACAGAAAACATTTTGAGAGATTAATATGTAGCGCATGCAAGCGATCAATTATGACCTTAGAAGAAAAGTTCGTGCAAGTGTCAAAATGCTTATGAATAACAAAATCGACTAGGGCATCCATGGGCAAGTTGATATATCTGAAAATATGTATTTTGAATTACACAAACGAATTATGGTCCTGTTGCAGTAGTCCAGAGAAGTTCTTGGGGAAGTGAACATCCAGTATGCTAGCATACGTGCAGTTAAAATCTCAAGTTTATAAAGCGAAACGTTTTGGCTAAACACGGTTGCAGTGAAAACACATTTTCTCCGTGACCATGTAAATAGATAGTTAATAAAAATTAGCTACTCCTAGACAGTGCGCTTTACGGTATAACTGAGTGGTATACTCAATATGATCTCATCACCAATTCCCTTTTCTGGGCTTTGCGAATAAATCGTAAATCGCAAGGAGAAGTTTTAGTTGTACCATTCAGGAAAGAAAATGTGCTCGATCCTGGCATCAACCAGACTGCAGCTGGTCTTCATCTCACATTGCCTTATTTGCGGTACCATGTTACTACATCTTCAACCAAGAATGCATCAACTGCTGCTAACTACTATCCGTTGTATTCGCATAACTTCTGTTATTTTCATCAAAAACCATCTCGTTTATCATCGTCTTACAAGCCGAGTAAAAGTCAAGGCGTTATGCACAAAGAGCTCAATAATCCCATTACGATTGCACTGAAGCGCCAGAGTTATGCATGAAATTGACCGGTGACTTTCACAGATTAGGACAGCTCGGTTTACGGCTTAAAACATCAGACAGCAGTTGGTTCAACGAGTCTGCAGGTAGTTTGAGGAGTCTGGTATGAATACTGGGCTTTGAAAGGCGTGGCGGGGGATTCCGCTGAATATCACTCTTCCAACTGTATTTCAGAGAAATGACTTATTTCTACGAGGCTTCTGTTATCCCATTTTGTACCACTGTGTGTTTGCTGCTGCTGCACTGCAGGAGGGGAGCAGCGGGTTAGCTTACAACACAGAGATCGCCCAGTGGATCCGTGGCCCAAATAATGGTACCAAAAGACGTATGGAGTAATGTCACAGAAGTTGTTCTGTCCACTAGTGTGCCATCATCCAGCTAAAGCGACGAACCGGTGAAGGAGAAACAAGCCTTCGCATTGCAAGTGTTTGAGTTGTCACAACACGAACGCGCATTCGGAAAAATCGGTCGCTCAATCTTCAGGCACGTCCGTTAGTTCCTACCGCGGCCTGCTCATAGCCTTTACCAACGTCTACAGTTTTATGAACAATGAACAATGATTCATCACAGGTTAAAAGCAATTGCTTGACATCTCCCGTAGAAGGGTTGGGATGAGTATGATGAAGTCGAAATATATGTGAGTCATCTACTGAGGGTCTGCCGAGATAAATGCGTTGATGTCTAACGTAAGTGTAAAATAAAAACCGAAGGTTTGGATATAGAAATACATGAGGTGCAGTAATCCTTGAAGAGAAGTGTAAGAAAAGTAAAATATGGTCGCTCAATCATGCGCCGCCTTGTTTGGTCCATATAACAGGTAACTCAGGTAGAATGGTATGGTTAATATAATCCACCATAGAGCAGTTTCGGTAACGAAGTCCTGGGAGCTAAGAGCAACACTCAGTCGCTTTTTGAAATTGCCCAGATGTAATGAGACTCGCTGAGGTGTGTTTGGACGATGAGGCGCTCAACCAGGAAGTAGATTTTAGCGCCTACTGGTGCTTCCGCTTTGATAGCCTATCAAATGACCGCGGTGGCGTCTTGCTCTACATACTATCTTCTCTGTGTGAGAGACTTGCGAGCCCCGTGGAAGCAGTTGTGGTGCATGAGCCAACTCAGTCGCGGAGAATCATGCGTGGGAGCATTTTATCGTAGTTCCCTAAGCGGTTGTTTGGATTTGCTGCCGCATCACCAGGATCACATGAGTCGCCGTCATTTGCCACTCGAAGGCGATTTCAACTGTCTTTGAATACGATAGCCTGAAGTCCAAATTATCCCCGGATGCTGTAAGTCAGAATCAATGTTCGCTGATATGATACTTGAAATTGGAACAGCACAATGCATCTGCCAACCGACACTCATAACAGCGCGCTCAGCTCCATGGTGCTTAGACTTGATATTAACCAGCTGTGAATAGCATGTTTATGACATTCAGATCCTAGAGCCTCCGGCAGCAAGCGACCATTCACTTTTATTACCAACATGGGGTTGCCGCTGCAACAATACCATGCACTGCAGTCAGATTACAATTACTGGAAGACGTAGTTCAACAGCCTGACTAGAACTGCGAGCCAAGTGAATTGGTCTCTGCCATAATTAGCATCTGTTGAAGCTTCTTGGTTAGGTACATACAACGGAGAAAACACATTTTGTAACAAGTTTTGCCTCTCAATTGTCGCAAAGTTGAACCGGTCAAGTTACATAGGTTTGACATGGGATATGGTAAGCTGGCTCGGCGGCAACACTGACTGACCACAACAATTTTGAGATAAATGCTACCCATGTTGAAGCAATGGATAATGCGAAGAATAAGAAGCAGATTTCTAAAACTCGCAGTGGATCATATGAACATGCGGACCACCCTATTGCATTAGATGTTGTGTCTAGTAGAACGACAAGCTGTGGCACTTCGGAGGGAAAATCAACGTCAGGTGCAAAAATGGTTACTAGAGGACTTTCAGCAGGCAGCAGTTAAGCAGTTAAGCAGGACAAGCGAACCAAGCCCAAAATGATTACAATCCACAGAGCTAGTAATGGTAATGTTGCTTTCTCTTGGAAAATCAGTGCTGGCAATCTCACAGTCTTTGCGAATGCTTTCTACTACATACGAAGTAACAACAATGGGGTTCAGTGAATAGCGAATGAAATACCCGCTAAATCCTAAATACAAGCAAAACCGCTACCTCATGCTTTGACCTATCATGTCCCGCATAAGGTCCACTCTGGCCAGAATCTAGGCTCGTCAAGGATCTCTGATAGACCCAGTCAAATAGTAAAAGGACGGTTGACCAAGAGTTATTGCAAGCATCATTGGGCGACACTGTATCATCATTTGCTTGGATAGCCATCCATTAATCGAACATAAAGTTATAACAGACGTTTTACCATCTTTGTCTCTTACACAAGATGTATTTGGGTATCACTACTATCCGGTTCCATTAGTGAATCACGCGGATTATGCTGATGATGGCGCATGGATTGAAACCAGTGTGCCTTTACCGCACATAATGAATCCTTGTCTATCGAACGCACGTAAGCTGATTGTATCCAACAATGGAAATGACAGCTAACCGCTGAATCATATCAATACCTTACGCAATCAACAGCCTATCAGTGACAAGAAACAGATGACACAGCTTCTCAAAGCAGCATCCGAACCAGTACGAAGCCATTCTGTTAACATTTTCGTCCCTATAGGCTACTACAAGAACCACGGGCTCTTTTCTGAGAATCATTTTCTAAAGGATCATACTCATTCCCAACCTATTCGCTGTGGCCCCTCAAAAACATCTTCCAATTTTGGCAACATACGCCCCATTTTAACCATATTTAGCCTGGGCCCGGATACAGGGCTTGAAACCCCAATTTTTATATAGCAGCCTAAACAATCCTCTTCATGTCTCACAACTGTCTCATTCTCTTTGATTAAAATTCGTTCTCTTCATTCTAAGATCCACACAACGCTCATTTGTTTTGGTGAATAATGCGGACATAATATGCTTGAATCTTGGTGCAATGATGACATGTCTGACAATCAGGTAGGTATTTTCGGCTAAGACACGTTTATGA